CGCTCTTCTCCCTCGGCAGGTTCTCCGAGTCGCTGGCCGCCTACCAAGAAGTGCTGGCCAAGATGCCGGACCTGACCGACCCCGACCCGCGCATCGGCATCGGCTGCTGCTTCTGGCAACTCGGCCACAAGGACGATGCCAAGGTCGCCTGGGAACGGTGTCTCGAGATCAACCCGGAGTCCAAGTATGCCAACATCCTGCTCGGGCTCTACCATCTCGACGCCAGCGGCCATGTGCCGACCAACAGTCCCGAGTTCATCCGGCTCTACAAGAAGGCCATGACCGAGTACACCCAAAAGTCGTTCAAGCTCGACAAGAACCTCCCGCTCACTTGCGCAACCTTTGCCGGCTACTTCCTCTCCCGGAAACAGTTCCCGACCGTCGACGCCCTGGCCCACAAGGCGATCCAAAACACAGATGTCAACGCCATTGCGAGCGACGGCTGGTACCTCCTTGCACGGAAAGAACACGCCGCCGGCGATCTGGAACGCGCCAGCGACTACTACCGTCGGGCGGACGATGCCAGGGGCGGCGCCGAGCGCGGCTTCCTGCCGGCCAAGTTTGGCGTGGCACAGCTCTCGGTGCTGAAGAGCGATCTCGGCGAGGCCAAGCTTCGGCTGGAGAAGATGATCCAGCACTCCAAGAACTACGAAGCCATGATCTTGCTCGGCACCCTGTACGCGGAGGAGGTGTTTGCCAACCAGTTTGCTGCCGTCAAGGAAGACAAGAGCGCCGAGGTCAAAAAGGCCATCGGGCTCCTAGAAGGCGTCCGCTCCGCATGGAAGGACCCCAAGAAAAGCCTGGGAGCAGATTCGGCCGTCTTGCTCAATCTCGCACGCTTGTACGAGACCGACAGCCCGGACAAGGCGCAGCAGTGTCTCCAGCAAGTCGAGCAGTTGGAGATTGGACAGATTCCGCAGTCCGAGTATCCCGCCGACACGGAAGACGAGGCGGCCATCCGCACGGCCATTCGAAAACTCCTGCCGCCGCAGCTCCTCAACAACATCGGCTGCTTTTACTCACAGGACGGAAAGCATGAGCTTGCCACCGAGCTCTTCCAGGCCGCCCTCGACTCTTGTGCACGAATCAGCCAAAGCGACAGCGACCTTGACACGGATGCTCTCCTCACGACCATCTCGTTCAATCTTGGCAGGAGTTACGAGTACGAGGGCGCGGTCGACAAGGCCGTCGAGACCTATGAGCGCCTGTTGAGCCGGCACGGCGACTACACGGATGCGCAAACGAGGTTGGCCTATATCAAACTGCGGAAGAACCCCAACAAGGAGGGCCCGGATGCGGTAGCCAAGCTGTACCAGGAGAATTCCTCGGACCTGGAGGTGCGCGCGCTGTACGGCTGGTTCCTCGGCAAGGTGAACTCCAAGAAGAGGCCCGCCAACATGGCAGAGGATCCCGAGCAGCGGCATTACAAGCACACGCTGCAGAATTATGACAAGCACGATCGCTATGCCCTCGTCGGCATGGGCAACCTGCATCTCATGTCTGCGCGGGAGATGCGCCGCGAGACCGAGCAGGAGAAGCAGAAACGGAGCGCGGCGTACAACCGCGCCGTCGAGTTCTTTGACAAGGCGCTCCAGCTGGACCCCAAGAACGCGTATGCGGCACAGGGAATTGCGATCGCCCTCGTCGAGGACAAGAAGGACTACAAGAACGCGCTGCAGGTCTTTATCAAAGTGCGCGAGACTATCCAGGATCCGAACGTCTATGTCAACCTGGGGCACATCTACGCCGAGCTGCGGCAGTTCACCAAGGCGCTCGAGTGCTACGAGATTGCGCTGTCGAGGGAGGGCAAGACGAAGGACGCCGGCATTCTGTCGTGCCTCGGACGGACGTGGCTCAACAAGGGCCGGGCCGAGCGTAGTCTCGACGCTTACAAGACGGCATTGGAGTATGCGGAGAAGGTCTGTCAACACCCACTCATCTTGCCATGAGCCACCCACACTAACCCACCGCGCCAGGCCCTCGCCGTCGCGCCGGAGCAAATCCATTTCAGATTCAACGTCGCCTTTGTGCAGATCCAGCTCGCCATGACCATCAACTCGATGCGCGACAGCGAGCGCACATCCTTCCACCTCGAGCAGGCCGCCGAGGGCCTCGAGGCCGCCATCAAAGCGCTCGACGAGATCGCGGCCGCGCCCAGCCCGCCGTACCCCAAGCACGACATCGAGCAGCGCGCCAACATGGCGCGCAACACGCAGCGCCGGCAGCTCGAGCGGGCGCTCGCCAGCCAGCGCGAGTACGAGGCCAAGAACAAGGAGAAGCTCGCGGCGGCGCTCGCGCAGCGCCAGGCCGAGCTCCGCCGCCGCGAGGCCGAGCGCCGCGCGCGCGACGACGCCGAGCGCGAGCGCCAGGACAAGATCCGCCGCGAGCGCGACGCGATGGCCGCGCGCGACCGCCAGCTGACGGAGAGCCGCCTCGCCGAGGAGCGCGCCCGCGTCGACGCCGAGATGACCACCGACAGCGAGACCGGCGACAAGGTGCGCCGCAAGAAGCGCCCTGCCGCGTCGTCCCAGCGGCCCGGCTCGCGCGAGGGCGACTCCGCCAGGGGCAAGGCCGCCCGCCGGAGGAAGGCTGCTGTGCCGGCGGCGGCGGCGGACTCGGACGACGATGAGGGCGGGTACGGCTCCGGTGACGGGGGGGCCCGCGGGGCCCGCAAGCGCCCGCCCAAGAAGCGGCAGCGGCTGGCGAGCAGGAAGGACACGGCCGCGGCGGCGCGCGGCAAGTTCAAGTCGGCGGAGCTGGTGGTGGATTCGGATGACGAGTCCAGTGACGGCGCGCGCGCCGGGGCCGATGATGATGCGCTGGAGCGCGCCGAGCGCGCGCTGGAGACGGCTTCGCGACGCCGCACGCCCGTGTCGGGGTCGGAGGACGATGATGGGCGGGGTGAGGGTCGTCGGCTGAGCCAGGGCCAGCGCCGGCGCCAGCGGAGGAGGGAGTCGTCGGGCAGTGTCGGGGTTGCGGATCGCATGGAGGTGGATGGTGAGGAGGAAGAGGAGCGGGGGAAGGGAGGTGGGCGGGATGAGGATGAGGCGGAGGAGGAGGAGGAGGAGGAGGACGAGGGGGGGACGGTTGCGCGCCGGCCGCAGGCCAAGAGGTCGCGCCGCGGGCGGATCGTGGATGAGAGTGAGGACGACGAGGGGGCGGACGAGGGTGGTGACAAGGCTGTGGAGGGGGACGCTCTGACGTCTGCTACGGTTAGCGGTGGGGAGGAGGCGGGGCGGGCGGATACGAGCATGGTGGATGCGGATGAGGAGGAGTAGGTGGGTGGAGGGTTGGGGAATCTCGGGGATTGATATTGGTGAGACGATGAATATGTATTATTGACTTAGTTTGGGTTCGTCCGTCAACTATGAGACTCATATTTAAAATCCTACCGTCAACCACACCCCCAGATTCCCTGCGGCCGCGTATCCCGCCAGGCAGTAGTATTTGTTTACGATGGCAAATGACACGGCGAGCTTGTTCGCCGGAGCCAAGTCCGGTCCTGACGTAGGCGGCAAGGCTTCGTGCATGCAGGGTATACGTAGATCCGATACTCACGAGTCACAGGCCCCAGCAAGTGCCGATGGATCTGTTCCCCGACAGGGGATCCCACGTCAGCGTACAGCTTGTTGCGTGCGGCGGGCCTGTCTGCCCTCCAGCTCTTACGGTTGCTGACGATCGATCATTCCGGGCCACGACATTCCCGCATACCAGATCAGTAGAATACCTCGCCCTTCATCAAGATCCGGGCCGTTCTGTGGAGCTCGGCGGAGAGGACCTGGCCATTCTCGACCGCTGTGCCAACCTCTAGCCTCCCGCTCGGATGGGCAATGACAATGGCGTGGTCCCCCCCCGTCTTGCTCGCCAGCTCATGCGGTATGGTCCCGGGGAGGCGTGTGGCGGCGCCCAGGCAGAGCGCAAGCGTGAGCGGCACCGCCTTGTGAGCTTGGCCCATGGACAGGGCCAGGCACTTGATATTGCACTGCTGGCCAGGCCGCGACGGGAACACGAGGACGATCTTGGGCACGCTCTCGGTCTTGGGATCGAGGCCCATCATCGCCGCCCCAGCCTGCCGGATCAGGTCCAGACGCGCCTTGAGCGGTGCATCTGCCTCGAGTCTCGCGGGATCCAGCGTATCGGGATTCTGGATGCCCAGGTCTGCGACCCGGACGAACACCCCGGGATTGGACACATCGACGAGGGAGGCCTCGACCGTGGTGCCGTCGGGGAGCCGTAGCGTGTCCACAGGGCGCCCCGTTGGCAAGGTTCGGCCGGTCTTGGCGCCGCCGGGACTGACGAAGCGCAGCACGCATCGGCTTTGCTTCCCGGGCACCCCGTCCATCTCGTAGTCCCCGTCGGCGCAGTACCGGGGCGGGTCCCCAGCGACGCGGAACCTCGCGTGCACCACCTTGGACGTGTTGGTGTTGAAGATGCGCACGAGGGCGGTCTGGCAGCCCGTGGCCGGATCCGTTTCTATCGCGGGTGTCCCGACCAGGCCCTCGTCCAAGCCAACGGGGCCGACGACGGACGACATGTTGCCGCAGTTGCCGGCCATGTCCAGCCTGCCGTCCCGGACGCCCACCTGCACGAAGGTGAAGTCGACATCGGCGTCGGGGCGCGCGGACGGCGCCAGCACGCACACTTTCGACGTGGACGAGATGCCCGACCCCATGCCGTCGAGCTGCCGGCCATGCGGGTCTGGTGATCCCATGGCCGCCGGGAGAACCCGATGCCACTCCGGCTTGGGCGGCAAGTCGCGAGCGAGGATAACGAGGCCATTGGACGTGCCGCCGCGGGCGAAGATGGCGGGAAAGCTCCGCCGCGCCGCCTTCTGTAGTATCGCGGAAACGTGCATTGGATTGTGATGTTTCCAGAGTCAGTTTCTGGTGGGAGGGGAACGGATTGCGGGGAGAATCGCATGCTGCAGCGGATCCCGGTCCGACGCTAACATGGGTGGTGACTGGTGAAAGTCAAAGCAAAGATCGAAAAACGAAAAAGAATGGACAATACCGGATTCGAACCGGTGACCTTTCACAAGGCGCATCTGATGCCAATGCGAAGCGAAAATCATACCCCTAGACCAATTGCCCTTGGGTTCTTGTTGGACCTGGTTCAAAGAAGACGTTTGATACAGGGCGCGGCCGGATCTGGAAACGCCACCAACTCCTACAGTCTGAATCCACTACCGACCATGGTGGAACAAGTGGTTGAGTCAGAGTGTGTTGTTTTGTTGCTATCAAAACACTTCCTTGGACCATACAGACGGGACTGCAACACAATCCGTGTCATACACACACCTAGCCACGGCCGACATACCCATCCTTCCAAGCTAAACACCGTTAGCCCCCACCCAGTCCCAGATTCAAGGAGAGCCCTACCTCCAGGTATCAGCGCCGCCGCATACATGACGAGCGAGATCGGGCGCAAGTCCTCGTCCGTCGACGCCTCCAGGTAGTGGTGCCAAAAGTCGACAATCGCGTCCACGCCCGCCTTGAGCTCCCCATCCGCCCCGTAGCACTGCAGCCCCAAGCACGTCCCAAACTCGCGGAACGCCAGCCGGTGCGACGCATCCCGCGCCATGACCCCGTGCTTCGCGTCGAGCATGGTGCGCGCCATCTCGACGCTCTGGCCGCCCAGCGTCACGGCCCACTCCTCGTCCCGGAAGAAATGGCACATCCACAGCCCCATGCCCAGATCCAGCGGATCGCGGCTCGCCTGCAGCTTGCTGCCGCGCCGGCCCATCAGCGCCCGGTAGTCTGCAATCTCGGCCGCGAGCGGCTCCGGCGACTCGTCAAGCCGCGCCGCCGTCTGCTGCAGGAGCCGGCACACGACGAAGCCGGTTGCCGCGTCGAGGTGGCCCTCGGACGGGACGAGCACGCTCTGCAGATCGGCCGACACCTTCCAGACCATCCGCGGGGTTGGGCCCTCGTGTCGGATCACAAAGTGCGGGTGCACGGCCTTGGCGAGCTGGATGGCCAGCTGGTTGTGCTCGTCTTCGCCCGTCGCCAGCGACAGCCGGTTGAGCGCGAACATCCACAGCGTGAGGTAGTGGTGGTATTGGCCATCGCAGTCGCTGCCGTGTGCGGCGAGCTTGCCGATCCGCAGGCCGCCCTTTAGCGGCTCCTCGTCGGTGGCGTTGGGTAGCCGCGCGGTGCCATCCCGTGTGCTCCCGAGGATGTTGTGGACCTCCTTGGCGAGCTGTTTCGCGAGCGTGAGGTAGACGGGCGACGACGTCTCCTTGGACAGGGTAATCAAGTTGACCACGCCGAATGCGTCGGTCCACAGATACCGGCCGCGATGTCCGCCAGCGCCGGGCTTGTGGGGGGGGACCCAGGAACGAGCGGCTTCTTCGGAGAGATGGTCAATATGCGCGCCGTAGACCAACCGCATCGCTTCCACAAAGTGGAGAACATTCTGGGTGGACGTCATCGTCTTGGACAACGATTGGATCCGATTGATCCGACTGAACATGAGAAAGCTGCCGTGAGACTATTCGTGAGGATTCACACAACGGACCCGACCGACTGGCATCAAATGGTCAATCAATTGTGACGCATCTTCCCGAGGCAACGTCACAATTACATTCTCGGTCTGGTTTCGCGACAAGGCTCTCAGCCAGGGACGGTAAACATACCAAACACTTCACCTCATACTCCTACGCTGTGACTCGCTGTTGCGTAACTTCCCAGAAGAGAACCCTGCGCTCGATCCATTGCGGCCTCTGCTGTACACTGGGCTGATGTTCTTCGCCATGGTAATTCGTTGACCAATTCGTCGCATGGCGATGCGAATCGTGTTGACGCTGTGTGGAACCTTGCATGTCGTCAGTTAGCTGTCAGCCTGTCAGCGATGTGGCCAAGACTTTGCCCGCGTCGTACCACCCTAGCTCCAGATCAGGTTAGCTTGAGATCTGTGCCCCTCCTTTGGTACCCCGCGTTGGAGCTGGTCGGACGTTCGAGCTGTTTCTGGAGCCTGCCGGATGATGCCTCGCTGGAACTCGCTGGAGCACGCAACTTCCAGTGTTTTCTTATCTCCTGATGTCTCGAGTTTCAACCCGAAGTGCGCCATTCCGCCTCCACCAGTCACTTAGGATATATTCTTGCTTTGGCTCTTCCAAAACAGCTTCTTTGCTTCTTCTCTCAAAACAACAAACAAACTTGCATCATCGCAACGGATAACTACACGGGCATCTGCCACTAGAGTGCACATTCCCAATTAGCACCAGCATACTCAAACGTCACTACCGAACTTTCATACCTACCTACCTACCTACCTACGAACAAAAATTACTTGTTCCACTGAGCACAACAACCCAAACCACCACCCCCGAGACACCGGTCTCTCATCCGCCAATCCACCATGAGCTCAAAAATGGAGTTTACCGACCGGGGCAAGAAGGCGTTGGAAGACGCCATGGTCCTGGCCGAGCAATACGCCCACTCACAGCTGCTGCCAGTGCATCTGGCCGTCGCTCTCCTCGATCCGCTTCCCGACCAGAGCAAGGACCAACAGAATGCGCCGCCCGGCACCACCAGCACCCTCTTTCGACAAGTCATCGAGCGCGCCCATGGCGATCCCCAACTCTTTGACCGGGCCCTGAAGAAGACGCTCGTCCGCCTGCCGAGCCAAGACCCACCGCCCGAGCAGGTCTCGATGGCGCCTACCTTCAACACGGTCCTCCGCAAGGCGATGGAGCTCCAGAAGGTGCAAAAGGACACATACATCGCAGTCGACCATCTCATCACAGCCTTGTCGGAGGACCTGAGCATCCAAAACGCCCTGAAGGAGGCCAACGTCCCGAAACCGAAGCTGATTCAGGATGCCATCGTGGCAATCCGGGGGACGAAGCGCGTAGACTCGCGCAGCGCCGACACGGAGCAGGAGAACGAGAACCTCACCAAGTTCACCATCGACATGACCGCCATGGCGCGCGAAGGCAAGATGGACCCAGTCATTGGCCGTGAGGAGGAGATCCGGCGTGTCATCCGCATTCTTTCCCGCCGCACCAAGAACAACCCCGTACTCATCGGCGAGCCCGGCGTGGGCAAGACGACCGTCGTCGAAGGCCTGGCCCAGAGAATCGTCAACTCGGACGTCCCCGACAACCTGGCAGCCTGCAAGCTGCTCTCGCTGGACGTGGGCGCTCTGGTGGCCGGAAGCAAGTACAGGGGTGAATTCGAAGAGCGGATGAAAGGTGTGCTGAAGGAGATTCAAGAGTCTAAGGATATGATTGTTCTCTTCGTCGACGAGATCCACCTGCTCATGGGCGCCGGCTCGTCGGGCGAGGGCGGCATGGATGCCGCCAACCTGCTCAAGCCAATGCTTGCCAGGGGACAGCTCCACTGCATCGGTGCCACCACCTTGGCCGAGTACCGCAAATACATCGAGAAGGATGCCGCCTTTGAGCGCCGTTTCCAGCAAGTGCTCGTCAAGGAGCCGTCGATCCCCGAGACCATCTCGATCCTCCGCGGCCTCAAGGAGAAGTACGAAATCCACCACAGCGTCAACATTGCCGACGCCGCCATTGTTGCTGCCGCCACCCTCGCAGCCCGGTACCTCACATCCCGAAGGCTCCCGGATTCGGCGGTGGATCTGGTTGACGAGGCGGCGGCTGCGGTCCGGGTTGCCCGGGAGTCCCAGCCCGAAATCATCGACTCCCTCGAGCGCCGGCTGCGACAACTGAAGATTGAAATCCACGCCCTGTCTCGCGAGAAAGACGATGCATCCAAAACGCGCCTCGCCCAGGCGAAGCAGGATGCTGAGAACGTTGAGGAGGAGCTGCGCCCGCTCCGCGAGAAGTACGACCGTGAGCGGCAGCGTGGCAAGGACATCCACGAGGCCAAGTTGAAGCTCGAGAACCTTCGCGTAAAGGCGGAGGATGCGAGTAGGATGGGCGACCACAGCCGTGCCGCCGACCTTCAATACTACGCCATCCCCGAGCAGGAGCAGGCCATCAAGAGGCTCGAAAAGGAGAAGGCCGCTGCGGACTCCGCGCTGAACGAGAACGGGGGCGATGCGGGCGGTTCTATGGTGACCGACGTCGTAGGACCCGATCAGATCAACGAGATTGTCGCGCGGTGGACCGGCATCCCAGTGACGCGCCTGAGGACGTCGGAGAGGGAGAAGCTGCTGCACATGGAGCAGGCCCTGGCAAAGATTGTGGTCGGCCAGCGAGAGGCCGTGCAGTCGGTCTCCAACGCGATCCGGCTGCAGCGATCCGGTCTCAGCAACCCGAACCAGCCCCCGAGCTTCCTCTTTTGCGGTCCTTCCGGTACGGGCAAGACGCTGCTCACCAAGGCGCTTGCCGAGTTCCTGTTCGATGACCCCAAGGCCATGATCCGCTTCGACATGTCCGAGTACCAGGAGCGGCACTCGCTCAGCCGCATGATTGGTGCCCCGCCCGGCTATGTCGGGCACGACGCCGGCGGCCAGCTGACCGAGGCCCTTCGTCGCAAGCCGTTCTCGATCCTTCTCTTTGACGAGGTCGAGAAGGCGGCCAAGGAGGTCTTGACGGTCCTCCTCCAGCTCATGGACGACGGCCGCATCACGGATGGCCAAGGTCGCGTCGTGGACGCCAGAAACTGCATTGTCGTCATGACGTCCAACCTCGGAGCCGAGCACCTCGCGCGCCCCAGTGGCAAGGACGGCAGAATCGACCCGACGACCAAGGAGCTCGTGAACAACGCGCTGCGCAACTACTTCCTCCCCGAGTTCCTCAACCGTATCTCGTCCATCGTCATCTTCAACCGCCTGACGCGTCGCGAGATCCGCAGGATTGTCGATCTGCGCATCTCGGAGATCCAGAAGCGGCTCTACGACAACGACCGCAACGTCATCATCAGGGTGTCGGAGGCGGCCAAGGACAAGCTGGGGGCCGCGGGCTACTCGCCGGCATACGGCGCCAGACCGCTGCAGCGCCTGCTCGAGAAGGAGGTGCTCAACCGCATGGCCATTCTGATTCTGCGTGGCAGCATCCTCGACGGCGAGGTGGCGCGTGTCGAAATCGTCGACGGCAAGGTCACTGTTCTCCCCAACCACGAGGATGGTGCGGCCGAGGATGATGACATGATGTTGGACGAGGACGACGCCA